TTTATAAAATAATTAAAAAATAAAATTCAAATAAATCCGGATATAAATATTACAAAAAAAAAAAAAACAAAAATTATTCGCTATATGTTCCCTTCACAAAAAAAAAAAAAATGAATTGAATTTTATTTTTAAATTATAATTTGAATTATCGAATAATTTTAACCGACATAATTATATATATATTTTTTTTTCAAAATTAAATGATAAAAAATCAAATAAATTTATTATAAATTGTCAAATCAAAACTTACAACTTATAAAATTTACACATAGAAATTATATTAATAATAATGACAATTGGGACAAGAGCAAAATAAAATATATATATATATATATAATTTTCTCTTTTTTTAATAATAATAATAATAATAAATATAATAAAATCAAGCTTTTGTGACATCAAATCAATTATTTAAAACGATGATGATGATAATAATAATAATAATTCGTATTTTTTTTTAACTATTAGGCCGGCATTCAAAAAAAATATATACTCAATATTTATTTATTTAAATATAATAATAATAATAATTATAATAATAATTATTATTATTACTTTATTAACAATATTAAACGTCAAGCTCGAATAATATTCTTTTTTTTTATATAAAAAAATAATTTTTTTATTCAAATCATAGCCAAAAAAAAAAAAAAAAAATTTAATATTAATATATATATATATCCAAATTTATAATGAATTTTTTGTATTTAATAATGAAATGAATGTATTTTATATATATATATATTATTTATTTTTTCATAATAATAATGTTTTAATTCATTTTTTTTAAAAATTATGTATGTTTTAAATAAATTACAAATTAATATATAAAAAATTTTATGTATAAAAAAAAAAAAATTCAACACTTGTGTAAACCAAAATGCATACAAAACAGAAAAAAAAAACAAAAAAATTAATATCATCATCACCACAATTAATTATAATCGATTATTAAAGATCAATAATAAATCACAATTTTTTTAAAAACAAATGAATCCACTTAATACAAGACTGTGGGGTGATAATAATAATAATAATAATAAAGGTAAAAGAATAAGTGGAGAAATTTAAATAATGATAATAATTTTTTTTTCTTTTTTATTTTTATCAACAAAAAAAAAATTATTCGGATTTTAATAATAATAAGTGTACAAAAACCAAAAATTAATAATAATAATAATAATAATAATAAAAAATACAAATAATAATAATAATAATAATAATAATAAATAATTAAATATGTATATAGATTTAATGTTTTTTTCGTTTGTTTGTTTGTTTGTTTGTACTGTAGAACCAAATATTAACCCAAATAATTTTCTTTTTTTTTTATTAAAAAACTCACGACAAAAAATTGTTTTTAAATAAGCGATAAAATGAAGTCATAGTAAATAAATAAATAAATGCTGCTACCGACTAATTATTAATTAATTACTAATAATAATTGTTCATAAATTAAATTATAATTTATTTTAAAAAATAATAATCATTTGGTTCTACTACATTTAATAATCATCAATCATATTTATTCAGCTTGACTTATTTTTCCAAGCACACAATTTTTTATTATTTCATCGACGCAATGACGAATCATTATTATTATTATTATTATTATTATCATTTTTTAAAAATATTTACAAATAAAAAAAATACAAAAAAAAAAAAGGGGAGGGAGGGGAGGGACGATTATCGAAAAATAATAATTTTAAGGATGTTATTTTAAAAAGGACGAGATTTGTTGTTTGTATACGACAATATAATAGGACAGTATTGTAAATGTACCTTGTTTTCAGGTATGTTTGTGTACGTGTATGCGTGTTCAGGTATGTATATATGTATGTAAAATGACTGGATATTAAAGAATCAACAAGACTTCTTATTAATAATAATAATAGTAATAGTAATAGTATTAATAATAATAATAATAATAATAATAATAGTTTTTCATGTGACTTTATCGTTTCGACAACTAATCATCGATTGTAGATAAGTTAATTGTGCCGGTTTGTGCTGTGCCAATTGATGCAAAGCTTCTTCGACGGTAAACCATTTTCTTTTACGATCTAAAAATAAATTAAACGGATTCTAAGAGTTTTTATATAGTATTCGTGAAAATGTGCTCATGACGGTCAGCCCCCTGCCCTGTCACACCGATTCCCTTTATTTTACCTTAAAAAAGCATTAATAAATAAAAAATGTATCATCGAATTACATACAATATGAATAAGGGTTCTCACCGATTGATTGCGAGTCTTCCCATTCGGGCAATTCTTCGCTAACGACCATAACGAAGACCTCGGTTCTATGTTTCCTCTCCATGTTCTGCAACACAAAAGGGGACAGGGTGTAAAACCTACAACAACGAAATAAAAAATGTCCGAGAATTACTATTCTTCCTACTCAATTACAATCAATATTGAATCAATGTACATGTGATACATTTAAATTAATTTACTTTTTGATTCTGTTTTGGAAAAGTCAGATTATGATCTCCACCAACCGGGTAATATTTAATCAACAAGTTACTTTAAAACATAATGATAATAATTGCAATTATACTTTTAAAGGTATTCCCCCCACCCCCCTTTTACCTTCAAACCTTTCTGAGGGGAAGAAATAATAATAAGGGAACTAATAAAATAATTTTTAACGGATTTAATTGAATTCATGTTTATCCGAATCGAATGTAAATAATAATAATAATAATAATAATAATAATTAGATATCGTACAGGTAAACGTACGTACCCTTACCTCAAAAACACCCAACGATCTTCCTAATTGACCTAAAACCCCAGCTTCTTCGAGTACCTCACGTATGGCTGTTACGCTCGCTTCTTCTTCCGGCTCCACTCCTCCCCCGGGTACAATCCAGTGTTCGGGACGCCTGGAGGACGTGACCAGAAGCACCTTGGGATGGACAAAAAAAATTTATCCAATAAATAATTATAAAAAAAGTTTTCTATGTAAATGAATGAATGAATGAACAAGTGCGTGGGAGGACGTTTTACGAAAAAAAAATTTTTTTTTTTCGCGTGAAAATTGTTTATTAATTATGATGAAACGTTTTTTTTTTTTAAAAACAAAATAAGTAATAAATTTATCGTTTCAAAACAAAATTCAAGTAAATTTTTTTATTTTTTTTTTGGCAAATTAAAGAAATCAATGTCAAAAAAAAAAAGATTACTACCAAAATAATCTTAGCACCCTACAAATTTATCAGTTGTCTTGTGAGTCCCCCCTGACGGTGAACACAAAATATTTAATTTTTTAAAAGAATTGATTGGAAATGAAATTAAAATTAATTTGAATCTAATAAATTGACACAAATCACATTTGAGAAAACAAAATGAAAAATGAAATCGGAAAAAAAAAAAGATTTTCCAAAACGCTACAAAACTTGTAGAGGAAAATCAAAACAATTTTTATAACAAAAAAAAAAAAGTGATTCGTTTCCTTTTTTAATAATTCAATAATAATAATAATAATAATAATAATAATAATAATAATAATAATAATAATAATAATAAATAAATAAATATATTTTATGATAACCTACAGCATTTTTTCATTAAATTGATAAAATGTTAATTTACCCCCACCCCCTCCCCCCCTCCTCAAAAAAAAAAAAAAAACCTTCGTTTAATCTAAAAGTTTCATTTATATTTATTTAAATTTTTATTTTAAAAGAAGGAGTAGAGAAACTTTTAAATTTTCAACTTTTTCATTTTCATTTTTTAAATTAAAAATTTAAAATTAATAATAAGACAAATAAATATAAATTTTCAAAAAAAATTACATTTAATAATTATCCCTCTAAAAAAAAAAAATTTGAAATGATTGTTCCGAATAAAATTATTAATCGTGTTGGTTCATCAATTCCGAACACTTTTTTTTTTTTTTTTTTTTTTCCATATTTCATTTAAATAAAAATAAAATTTAACCGCATAATTTTCATCCCTCCATCATCATCATCATGTGTTATAAAAAATAAGCAAAATTTAATTAAAAACCCTTTTTTAAAAAATGTCTTTTGTTAACATTAAAAAAAAAAAATAAATATTTGTCTTTTTTTCGAACAAGTTAGTAAGATTGTATTATTATTATTATTATTAAGGAAATAAATACATTTTTTTTTTCCCACAGGTTTTTAAAACCAAATTTTACTCATTAATAAAATAACTAATTAGCAATCTGTGGCCATTTTAATGTAATTACTTTGTAATTACCCAAACTAAATGTTTTTCGTTTGTTAAACAAATATTGTTTTAAAGTAAAATAACAAATTTTTGAAATTAATAATTACCCAATATTTACATATATATATATATATATATCTTAAATTTGACAAATGCATTATTAATAATAATAATAATGTAATTTAAAAACCGATACAAAATGGTTATTTCAAAAAAAAAAAGAAAAAAAATGAAATGTATTCGATTCTACGAAGAAATTATGCAGATGATTATTTCAAATCATTTTTTTAATGTTTTATATTTATTAAAATTGAAGAAGAAAATGCAAGCATATTTTTTTTTTTTTTTCATTACATTTAATAAAAGTAAATTTTAATGAAAAATAAAAGTGTAACAAGTTTAATTGAAGCAATAACCTTGCAGGGTGCAAGGTATGCAAATGAAGGACAGACGTGAATGACGACCATTTAGAAAAAAAAATCATGCCCTCCGGGGTATTAAGTTTAAAAATAGAAAAAACTCGTTTATATAACTGCCTAATTGTTGTCGGGGTTCAATATCATTTTTTTATTCATTTTATAAAAAAAGACAAACCCAATAAAATAAAGACAATATAATTTCTGTTTGAAAAAAAAAAAATTTAAAGGAATTATGGTATAACATGTGGAAATATCTCATACCTCATTTTCGTCTTCGTTTTTAACACATATGCATGCCGCACGACGTCTGAACCCTTCTTCGTCGTATATTCTTGTAGAATTCGGTTTTTCCTTCACCATATCTTTTGTTTATTTCCAGGGGGGGGGAGGAAGAAGAGGGAAGGTCGTTTTAGAATGGAAGAAGAAAAGTGAAATTTTCTTTACTAAATGTGTGGAGGAGGTTGAATGGTATTTCTATCTTTTGACTTCACCGCTTTGAATTATTAAATTCCGCCATGATGGTCCTGATTTTTAATAAAACCGATTAGAGCACAGTTCTGCACACTTGATTTATATTCACTTTTAAAAATCTATAACTAAATGTATTAGGTTGATTGATTGGGATTTTGCTGACAACGTACCACAAACAGCAAATCCTTAGGAATACTAAAAACTTCATTCATACCTACAACATCCATGACGAATTTTGGCTCTGTACTGCTCCTCAAAAAATCGAAATGATACTCATCAGCTGGGGTTAAAATCAATTATATTCACAATAAATCAACTTCGAAAAAAAAATTAATTTTAATAATAATAAAATTTTATTTTATATATTTAAAACGATTTTTAAATCATTTGATAAAATTTAATTTTATTTATTTTAAAACAAATTTATTTTCGCAACACATCGTTTAATAAAAAAAAAAAAAAAAAAAATTTAAAACGAAGCTATAAAATAACAAATATAAACGATTTTAAGTCTGAATTTTCATATAGAAAAGCAATGTTGCCGAATTTTCGTGATAATGACAAATTCAAAAAAATTATAAAATAATAATAATAATAATTACTACGAACATCTATTTAATCGACCCCGGAAATTATCTTTTTCTTATCTTCAATTATTTAATAAATTATGATATCTAGAAAAGTATCACTTGAAAAATATTTTTTGACCATAATTACGTTAATATTAAATAAAATGTACATAAATTTTTCACGTGAAATTTTTATTCAAAAATTTTAAATATATTTGTCTTCTCGTAACATTAAATACATTATTTTTATCGTACCTGTCAATGAAAGTGATTATAAAATGTATTTTAAATTTGTATTTATTATTTAATAAAAAAAAAAGTAATTTTTGTAAGAGCAAGTCTTATCAATAAGTATTCACGGACTGCCTTTATTTGATTTAATAAAAACATATTACCCTAACCTGTATTGGGTCATTCTGATGGAAGAATATTCACACGCTGATTACATAGAGGTAAATAATTAAATTTTATAATGGAAAAAATTATTTTATGGAATCTAACAATAATTTTTTCTACTTGATTGATTCGGTAGAAATTTTTTATATAATAATGTTTCAGCTTGAACCTTTTATTCATCAAGTAGGAGGCCATTCATTCATGTTATCATTGGATGGTGCCACTGTGTGCAAACCATTGGTAGAAAGAGAACATCTATTTTATTTAACAATACCTGATGAAGTACAGAAATTTTTACCTCAGTATTACGGAGTCATATCGGTTAGAATTATTCAAACCGATGATGGCTATGTACAATTCATTGCACTACCACCCAAAAATTATGTACCTTTATGGCATGGAAATAAACGTGGGTAAGTCTAATCACTCATTTTAAAACCTTAAAAAAAAATAAATCAATAATTTTAATCGAATTTTATAATATTGCAGAGTCAGATTACGTAAAACTGGAAGCATCGAGGTGACTAATTCTGGTAATGAACACTTTCAAGAAGATCAACATGAAAGTAGTGTTTCTGGTAGTAGCGATCTTACAAGGCTTAATCCTTGGGTATTAAAATGTCACAGAGAAAATATGTGCAGTCTATTAAAACGTTTTGAAGAGGGTGAAGACAAAGCGAAGGAGTTTATAGTTTTAGAAAATTTAACATGGAAATTTACTTACCCTTGCATTTTAGATTTAAAAATGGGGACAAGGCAATATGGAGATGCTGCTACTTTGGCAAAAAAACAAAGTAAAATGTATAAAGTAGTTAGTACAACATCAGCAAAACTAGGACTCAGAGTTGGGGGTATGCAGGTAAGTAGTACATTTATTTATAAATTATTTAAACATGATATCGGAAAATAAAATAAAATTCAAAATTTTTAAATCAATTATTTCTATTTACACGTCATTATAAACCCTATGCTTTTTAATTTTTTTTTTTTTTTTTTCTTTGTTTCAGGTATTTCAGATTTCGAGTAAACATTATCTTTGTCGGAATAAGTTTTATGGTCGTACTCTATCAGTTAGTGGATTTCAACAGGCTCTGGTTCAATTTTTACATAACGGCGTAAGATTTCGTTCAGATGTGCTTCCGGTTTTGATTCGACGGTTAGAAGAACTTTTTACCGTATTAGGAAGACAGGAAACAGTTAGATTGTACACGACAAGTTTACTACTGCTGTACGAAGGAGATGATTTCGTTCAAGAATCTGATCCGTTATTATCATCGCCGGATTCTGAAAAATTAAGAAAACAAGATTCATTTAAAAAAATTAACACGACCACGGATTCGGATGTTTTAAGAAAAACTTCGAGCGCGGAATCATTGACTGCATATGAAGAAATTGTCGTGACGAAACGAACTCCGAGTCTACGACGTCGAAGCAGTGCCGCCAATTTTGATACCATTTCCGAAAGTAGTTCCGCCATATCCTCGGATAGTGTGAGTTTTGAAGATTGTTGCGATGGAATCAGACGGAATAGTAAAACTCTAACGGAAACTTTAGTGAGAACTCTTTCGAGAAAATCCGATTCTTCGTATAATTCGGAACCTAACGTAGACGTTAAAATGATTGATTTTGCTCATTCCACTCATAAAGCATTAGAGGATCCGGTAGTTTATTCGGGACCCGATCGAGGTTTTTTATTCGGTTTAGAAAAATTAATTAACATGTTAAAATCAATAGAAAGCGATTATGGATGATAAATTTATTAAAAATTAATTATTTTCGTGAAATTTTTGTCATCGAATGATTATATATAAAAGTTTTGACTGGGTAATGAGAAAAAATTTTTATTATAAAATCAATTGATAAGGTTCGTTTTCTGAGTATTTTACCTTAATTAAAAGGGTAAAAATTTCTCCATTGAAATAATAATAATAATAATAATAATAATACTCCTGATGTTGACGACTCAATATAAAGAAAAAATGATGTGAAATAATTAAAATTATTCTAGTCGAAAATAATACATTATTATGTAAGTCATCAATAACTATTTATTTTTAATTTAAATTAATCTTTTTAAGTTAATCCTTTTAAATCATTGCACATTAATTTTTATTTAATTTAACAATCGAAAAGATATAAATTGGTTATATTTAATTTTGAACAAAAAAATAACGACAATAATAATGAAATTGACGTATTATTTAATATTAAGACAAGCCCTTTCTTTAATATTTTTACCAAATTAAGGATTCAATTATTGTATTTAATAAAGAATTTTTAATGACTAGCCATAATAAATTAAATTTCATAATTGTAAAGAAAGTAATAAAAAAAAAAAAGTCATAATTTTATAGATTAGATATATAATTTTTTCTTTTTAATTTTTATCGCTTAATTTTTGCAATTTGCTCAATCGATAAATCAATAAATGATGGGCTATGCTATCCTTTTAAATGAATGTTTGTTTTGTATGAAGGGATATAATTTTTGAAAATATTTAAAAATTTTGCTCAAGTTTCAAGTTTTTATTTTCTGAAACAACTGCCCTTTCATAACGAACAATTATTATAATTGATTTATAAAAAAAAAAAAAAAAAAATAAATTTAAAAACTAAATTTGAGTTTTTATTTTTTCGATGCTTTTTCCTTTCTTTTTTTAACATGTTTTTTTATTTTAGTTTTTCTCTTCTCAGCCTGTTGTTCTTTTACCGCTTTTTTTCTCAAATTTCTACTCTCAGGCGTTTCATCTTTTGGCCTTCGACTATTTACAAATTTACTTTTAGATTCTTCTGCTTCATTGTCACTGCTTTTGTCGTCTGAACTGTTACTCGTTTCTTCAATATCATCATCATCATCATCATCGTTTTCTTCATCATCAGAAGTTGTTTTTTTACAGTGAAGTCCTAACATTTTTTTATATGCTTCATCTTTTTTTCCAGCTTTTACTTGTTCGATATCTTTTTCAAAGTCGATTACCTAAATAATGGAGATTTTTTTAAAAAATTTTAATCTTAATATAAATTTATAGTGAGTTGTATAAAAATGGCCAAACTTACTTCGTAAAGATTTTGAGGTTTGTACGTTTTCTTAAAAATTTCATCGTTTAATAATTCTTCAGCTGTTGGAGGATTTTCAAATACTTCTTGCTGTAGTCTATCTAAAATTTCTTCAACATTTTTTTCTGTAACTGACATATCTGTGACAAAACTAAATAATTTTTTAACTGTAAGTGTTCCTACATCTTTTTTTCGAAAATATTCAGTTACATTAGTGCAGTCAGACATTAAAAATTCCAAAGCATGAGGATGATTTTTTTCAACAGATTGAGAAACATCTATTAAATACAGTTGGTTATTATGATACCTAAAATGTATATTAATGATGATAATTTCCCAAACAAAACTTAATTATTTCACAAATGGTTAATAAAATTATTACAGCATATTAAATTCACTAAGATCGGCATGAATCAATTTACATATATTGTACATTTTCCAAATCATTAAAACACAATCTCTGTACAATTGACAAGCTTTCGATGTTGAAATATCCACATCTTTGAGTTTCTTCGCTGGCCAGCCATCTTTTCCTAGAAATGTCATGAGTAATACATGACTTTTCAGGAGTTTCGGTTCTGGAACTGGCAATCCAGCAGAGTGAAGTCTCACTAAATTTCTCATTTCTTTTTCAGCCCATGTTCGAACCATTTTTCTAGGATTATGCCTGCAATAACCATGCCTAAATCTATATTCCCCTGTCACATACCTGTCTCTGTCTTTAAAAATTAATATAGACGTTTTATAAATTTTGATTGCAATATGTTCGTCATTATTACTACCTGAAAACAAAGCAAAACATTTAAAAAACTCATTATTAATAAATGTTTTCTGGGGCATAAATATATACCTATTGCATGATAAACATTGGCTTCTTTTCCAGTAGAAATACAACCATCAATTTGCTGAATCGTTCCTCTATTTAACAGTTTAAAAAGAATCATTCTAGTTCTGGGATCCATTACTTGTTCACATGTTGCTCGATCAGACTTATCTTTAATTTTTATTCTGCAAAAGAAAAATTTAATTTTTAACTTTAGGTATAATTTTAGCTATGAATAAATAAATAAGTAAACAAAATTTAAAAAAAAATTTAATTAAACCTGTCTCCTCCATCAAGATTAGACAGATCATATTTGTCCACATTAATTTTTCCAACAAATTTAGTGAACAATTTATCAACTGATTGATAATTCATGTTTTTATTACTCAATCCTTGTGGATTCATGTGAGATTTGTGATTTTTAAATTCTCCATTTTCATTTTCTTCTTCTGACCATTCAAAATTATCAGGCTCGTCGTCATTATATGAATCCTCAGACAAAGAATCATTTTCAAGTTTTAATTTATCTATTTTAATATTATTGTCGGGATCACTTGATTTTGTTTCCCTATTAAAAATAATTATTACATTCAATTATGTCTTATTAAATTATTTTAATATGTTGCAAAAAAAAATATCTTACGCGTCATTTTCATCATCACTAAACTGGCCTTCACAATTAGTGGCCATAATCATTAAAGTAAAAGGAATTAACAATATTTAAAAAAAAAAAACGACAAAATAAGTTAATAAACTAATCTTGCCTTATAACCTAATCAGGACATTAGCAATGGTTAACTTAAAAAGGAAAACATGGCGGAAGATGAAAAAATAAAAAGGCGCCAATTCAATGAAAAAATTATTCTGTATTATTCAATACATAAAAAAAAATTATTTTACATGTGTCACATTATCAAAGTTTTAAAAAATAAATTAAATAAACATTTAAATTTTATTTTTTATCAGTAAGTAAATTTAAAATTATTTTTACTATTTAAAATGTAATAACACTTAAAATAATTTAACATTCATTTTATTTCTTTTAATAAATCACTCCAACAAACAAATATTTGATCTGATACATTAAAACTTTCATTTTCGATTAGTTCAAAAATATTTGTAAAAAATATTAGTTGTTCATTAATTAGATTTTTATATATTTCTATGTTAAAATCTTCAATATTTAAAAATAAATCTTCAATTTTTTGTCTCAAACTACTTTTAGTTTCTAAATGTAATATCTTTTGCACAAACTCTACAGTTTTAGACACTTCATCGATTGTAATAAACAAAAGATGTTTTAAAAATCTATTATCTTCCATTAAAAAATTATTATTTTCTTGTAAAATGCAAATTGCTTCTTTAAATGCATTTTCTTTGGTTTTCGGACTAAAAAAAATTAAAAACAAATCAAATTATTAAAAATGCTTGTTTCATAAGACATTTATACTTTTTTAAATTGTTAAAAATAAAAACTTGTAAAATATTTACCTAGAATATTTAGCATCACTCCATAATTTATTAAAATCAGGTTGATCAAGTTGCACTAATTTGAAATTTTGTGGGAAGAAAGTTTTATCGACTAAATTAAATTTTTTCCAAAATTTAGTATGTAAACTTTCGATTTCTAATTCTTGTTTCTTAAGATTATGTTTTAGTACATCTTCATTTCCTAAACATTTTTTAACAACCTTATTTTTTTCTTCTTTGAGTTCTTTTAATTTTTGTTTTAATGTATTTAATTCTTCCGAAAGTATTTTATTCTTTTCTTTTTCTAATAATAATTCATCATGTTTCATTTTAACACTTTTATGTAGAATACTCTTTTGTTTCTGATAAAATTAAAGATCATTATTTAGTCAGTTTCGGTTTTACTCGATTAATTTTATGTAAGCATATATATTTGCAAATTTAAAATTAAACATAAACACTTTCACACACATACACATACTTGAAGATATACACATACATAAATATGTAAAATAAAGAAAAAAAAAATTGACTTACTTCTAACTTAATATTTTCAAAATTAAGTCTATCAATTTCATCATCTGAATTTCTTACAGTTATTACTTTAATTTGTTTTACCATATCAATACAAACTGATACTAAAGCATCAACCATTTTTTTATAATTAAATACAATTTTTTCGGGTTTCAAAATGTTTCCTTTTTCATTTTTCTTTTTTACATTGGTTATTTTATAAGGAAGTGGAGAATGGCCTATTAAATTAAGTTCCTACAATTTATATAATAATAATTTATAATTTATTTAATAATTTATTAGTGATTAATTTATATTTTTAAAAAAATAAAAATTACCTTAGAAAGATGCGGAATCAATAATACTTTATCTAGATTCATTTTCATAAATGCTGGACATTAATTCAAAGAATAATAATACTTTCGTATAATAAAAAATGGCGGGAAAATCAGGGATATTTGTCGATACAAAAAAAAATTACATAAAAATTTTTTTTTTTATTTTGCATAATTTAATTTTATCAGTGTCAATTTTTTTTTTATACAATTTTTATATTATTACAAAAGTGATAATTTAATAATTTAGTTAATAATATTTTAATTTTTCGTATTAAATTTATTTAGTTATTACAGGCTACTTACGGTATTTGAATTATAATGAGACCTGATTGTATCAATGTTTTCATTAAAAGTAATTAAAACTTATTTTAATTATACAGCACAAAAAAAATATTAATTGATAACAAATTGAATTAAAATATTCTTTTTAAATAAATAATACAACTAATATTCTTCTATATTTCATTTGAGCTTTTACATTAAAAAAAAATTTTTTTTACTTTTTTTTGATTAACAATGATTTGATAAATGTAATTGTTACAACATTTTATATTCAGATGTATTACATGATCTTATTAAAATTATATTCTAAAGAAACGATTAAACTTGGAGCAAATTATAAAAATTTAATAAAAATTTGCTCTCGATTAAAAATTCAATTTTTTTTTTTTTTTTATGATTATTATTGTTTGTCGTGGGTCAAATTGATAAATAAAAAATTTAAATTATGTATTTTTATAAATTACTGCTGCTTTCAGATTTTTACATTATTAAATAAAAACTTAATTGGATTGGATTGGATATTCATTCATCATTTAAATAACCAGTAGCTATTCTTTCCCAGTCTTCTAGATTACAAGAACTAGTCTTACGATAAAATTCTTTCATATATTCCTTTACAATCTTTTTAACTTCTGATTCGTTAAAATATTTCCTTAAGAATTTAGTCATTTCAATTTCTAATATATCTTTTCTTGGGCCTTTCGAAGTATTCGGAGCAGATTCCTTATTATCTAATACAACCAAATTTAATTTACTGTCTTCTTTAATATCATAATCATTAAGCTTCTTACAATCTAGAAATAAAAAAAATACAAACATTAAAAAAACTACTGTTATTAATAATCAATACAAAGCTTTAGCAAAAATTTCTTTTCGTTTTTTTTTTTTTTTTTTTACATAGAAATACATAAACAATCACTTCTACTACATACTTACTTTAGTTTTTAAAAAAATTTTCTTTTAAATTAATAAATTTAATAAAATTTCAGACATTGAGGTTTATTTTTCATATTATAATTAATAATAATCTTACCTAACAATAGTTTTCCTTTTAGTAATAACTTTTGATCAGTAACTGGTATTTTAAGATTGGTTTCGACCATTTTTTTAAATTCCAAAACACGAAGATCAGGCTGAACCTAAAAACAATTTTTATTTTATAATTCATTACTCCCTGCAAAGCATGTTAACAATTCTGTTTACAGTAATAATAAATCACAGATTTTTAATAAAGTCACATGGAAAAACCTTTTTGACAAAACAAATAATTACATTTTAACTTGTGAATATATTAAAATATTAAAAACAACATTAAATAAGTTTTTTAATTACTAGTTCGAGTTACAAAAAAAAAATAATAATAATGTAATTTATTTTTGATTGCATTAAAAGTCATACTAAATTTAACTTTAACAAAAATTTTTTCTCTCTAACAAAAAAAATAAAAAATTTATTATTAATTAATTACTTACATCTAATGTACATTCTGCTCCTCTCAATATTTTAACGTTAATCTTCATTTTTTTTTTTGGGTCACAAAAATTTATAAATGAATGTATTATATATATGTATATATATATATTGATCAGTTTCTGTTCGAAGCCATTTTTAGTGCTTAGAATAAGAAATTTACCTTCAGACCTGCCAACCTAACCATAATTTTTTTTACACGATGTAAAATTTTTTTATTTCTAAGGCCGCGCTTTTTTTTTTTTTTTTAAATCAACAATATTAAGAAAAATTAAAAAATTTCGTTTTAAATTAAACAAAAAAATGATAAATAATAAGTAATATTAAGATTTTAAAGTATTTAAATTGAATACAGGTAGCATATTCGAAATACAAAATGTTCTTTAAATTACTTATTTCCACAATAATATTTTTGTGCCTCCATTATTAAAAAAAAATGATAATAATAATTTTATTATATTAATATAAATGTATTTTTTTTTTTTTTCAGAGAGATGAAATCTATCAATTTAATTTTTTATATTAAAAAATGTGTTTGCATTTAATGTGTTTTAAAAAGAAAAAGCATCATTCATGATGGGATTGAAAACAAAAAAAAAAAAAAAATTTTAATAAGACACTAACTTAAATCTAGATATTTTTAGGGGTATTGACAAAAAGGAAGTTTTCAAAAAAAAAAAAAAAAAAAAAAAAGAGAAAAAAACGAATATTGACGAATGTGTTTTAGGTGTTGAGTGGAAAATGATAATTTGGACCACCCAAATACAAAGTTGTCTTAACTAATTGCATGAGTAGAAGTTTCTGTTACACATTGAGAGTAGAATGTCAATCAATTGTCATTTCATGTGTAAACCGTACCACATGTTGTTGCAAATGCTGACCGATTTCATTGTTTTTTTTTTTTTTTTTTTTTTTTTTGACGTCAATCTAACAAATGTTTTTTATTATTATAAACAAATATTACACTTTTTTTTTTTTTTTTAACAATGAAAATCCTATTTAAATATTTTATATTGATGTAATCAAATTATTTGCAAAGTTAACAACAACAACAACAACAGCACAAATTTGCTTTTTGTAATGTTGAATGCTATTTTTTTTTGGGGGGTTTTTAATTAACAAAATTGATGTTTTGTCATGTTTTAAGTAATATTTTAAATATTTAAAAAAAAAACTTCTCATATTGTTTTATATTGATTCATTCATGTATAAAGACAAGTTTAAATTTTCATTAGATTATTTTTTTTTAAATTTGAGAAATAAGTTTTTAAAACTGTTAAAATTGAAACAAAGAAAAACAAAAAATATAAAAAAAAAAAAAGGAGGAAAGAAATCTTGGCAGGAATTAATTAAATTTAAGTTTTATTTACTGACATCTTTGATTCTATTATGTTTACATAGAAATTCATCGTTAAATCTCCCAAGATGTAATTTTATACGGCAAACCAACGAGTTTCATACAAAAATCCCAAATTGAATTTTTCCATAGATTAAATAGCACAAAACGTGAGAGTGAGAGTGAGCGGTAAGCGTCAAAATAAACAAAAAAAAAAAAAACTTCTGCCTACCGCATAAGTAAGTTTAACTCCTCGAGGGGTTGTTTTTTTTTTTTTTTTTTTTTTGGGTTCCTCATTATTAAATAAATTTATAAAATGAAAAAGTAAAACAAAATAAACTACTACTACTACCCCAAAGCATTTATCCACGTTTTTTTTTTTTTTTTTTTTATTCAAAACAAGTTCGAAAACCAAAAAAAAAAGTTTTCTTCGATTTATTTATTTTTTCATTGAAATTTCTTCATAGTAAAAAAAAAAATTTTAAATAGTTTTCCTTCATATAATTATTTATTTTATTTCATTTTCTATTAATTAATAAAAACAATAAAACCATTATAACATTTTTTTTGATTTATTTAAAAATTATTTTTTTTCGCCCGGAAAATAAATTCAAAAAAAAAAAAAAAAAAAAAAAAAAAAAACATCGCCTTGATCTTTTTGGTTTTTTAAACAAAAAAATCTGTTTTGTTTTAAATTTATTTAGTCCGACAAAAATAAAAGTAAAATTTTAAAATTTTAAATTAATTTTTTAATCTCAAAAAAAAATAAAACGTAACAGAAAAAAAAAAAGAAAAAATTTCAAAGGTTAAGAAATTTTAATGCAATCGATCAGGGGGGGAAACTAAAAATGTAAACAAAAATTTTAAAAAAATAAAAACATTCAGTCAATCAAAACGAAAGTAATTATTATTATTATTATTATTATTACGAAAAATTTTAGTAATTATAATTTTTTTTTCCCCCAAAGTTTAATTCATAATTAAAAATTTTTTATTTTTGTCCTGCCAAACAAATTCGTTGATTCAAAATGGCTTAGAGTAAAAAAAAAAAAATGGCGGCTTTAATGAAATCAGGAAAAGTAAATAATAAGGAATGAAAAACTAATTTTTATTAATAACAAAATGTATATTTTTCATAAATATTTTATATTATATTAAACGTATTTTTTTAAAGCTTCACAATATACATAATAAAAAAACGTTTTGAAACGTTTAAAAAAAAAATTACGACAAAATCTTTTTAAGCAGAATACATGATAAACGATTAACAAATATGGCGTATTTTTATGTAAAAATAAATTTTTATGAATATTGATTATCGTTTATTTTATCATTTTTATGTATTTTATTAAAATACGGTGTGGTGGTGGTGGTGGTGGTAGGGGGAAAATTTTTAATTTGGTGGGAATTTTCAACATCATTATTATTAGAATTGTTTAATAAATAATTTAATTCTTGTCTGTCTTTAATAAAATTATAATTTGGAATTTGAAAAAAAAAATCTTTCGAACAAATTCCATCGATATTTTGATTTGTTAACGATGAAATCATTCCGAAATTGTTAAAATTATTAAAATTATTATTAAAATTAGGAACGCCGGACATGGCGATTGTACCGTTATTAAAATTTGTAAAATTTTGAAAATTATTAAAAGCACAACCGAAATTAAAACCGGGACCACCTCCGAGTGCGAGCAAAGCAGTAGAAATTGAATTTCCTACACCGAATCCTACACCGTTTGCCGCCGTCGTGGCAAAAGGAAAATTTGTTTTTAATAAATTTGATGTCGAATCTCCGCAAGACACGAATGGTCGTGGAAGGTTTAAATTTGCGCACCCGATTATTTGATTGCCATTCTTAGGTACACGATCCGCGTAAAAAAAATTTTTATTAATGTTATCAGTTTGTGGTTGTTGTTGTTGTGATTGTGATTGTGTTTGTTCGATGGAATAATCGTACTTCTTAAATTTTTCCTCAGGTAATGTACCTTCTTTTAGATTATTTAAATAATTTGTAATTTTCGATGTGATTACGGGTTTAAATGCTGAATTTTGAGTTTCGTGAACGAATGACGTCACTTTAATGGATGATTTGTCATGATCGTTTTTTTTTTTTATAACGGTTTCGTTTTTAATTAATCGTTTGTCTTCTCGTTCTTTGCCCACTTTTAATATTTTTAATTCTTCGACTTCATTTACACGTTTTTGATTTACCGTTTTCGGTACGATTTCTTCAATGGCTTTGATCAAATCGTCTCCGCATCTTTTCAAAACTAATTCTAAAACGCTTTTCTTTTTATTCGGAAATAATTTCGTTAACATTCCCAAAGAATTTTCCAATATTTCCGTTTTTTTTATCGGTAAACATTTACTCCGTTTTTCTCCTCCTCCTCCTCCTCCTCTCGTAAAATCTAATTTGTTGCATTCATCGTTTTGATTTCCGTCGGAATCCACGACAACATCGTAAATGTTCTCGAAACTTCTTTTTTTATTTAATGTTTTACTTTCGTTTATGCCATTTGTATCAATCTCATTGGTTTCCATATTATCCTTTAATTTTTTATTACAACCTAAATTAAATTTTTCTATAACCGAATCATTTCCTTCGGTTGAATTCACATCATTTGTCGTTTTTTTTCTCTCCTCCTCCTCCGAGGATTCATTTTTGTCATTTTCCACAGCGTCACCACCTTTTTCCGGATCGGTTATTTCAAAACCAAATATTGGACCTTGAGGAAGGTATCCATATTGCTTACCAGTAGCAACAGTTGC